CTTCTCAGCCGTTCCAGCAACGGACGCAACCCGGAAAACTATCGGCATGGATTTTTGCTTTAACAATTTTATTGTTAAAGTCCGCGTGAACCGGAAGTTGCTGCCGACTTTATTTCAGTGTAGTGACGTATTTCCAGCTGAAACGGAATATTGAATAGAGGGCGGGGTTTTATTTTTGCGCTCCTCCTCTCTGTCTCTCACTCATAGCAACCTAACGGTTGGAGGGGTGTGTTTAAGGATATTCTGCCCAAGCCGTCAAACTGACGTCATCAGAGAAGGAATGCCATTCCAGAGCGGAAGTAAATGTTCAGATTTTAATTAAAGATTACAGAAACAAACAATTTTTTACAGCGGATTAACTTGCACGGATTAATTGTTCACATCAAGACTAGCAATGTGCGCTAATAAAGTAAATAAAGTCAATTTTGATTTCATGCGGACTTTAAATACAACCCAGCGCTGAGTGAAATATGGACAAACCCAGCTATTGGGTTGTTTTGAGCCAGTGGTTGGGTTACTACCCAGAAGGTTGGGTTAAACATTTAACCCAACTGCTGGGTCAAAACAACCCAGTAGCTGGGTTTGTCCATATTTCACCCAGCGCTGGGTTGTATTTAACCCAACATTTTTTAGAGTGTACACATCTTCTGAAGGAGTCTGGACCAAAACACGGCAAAGAAGAAGCAGAAACAAGCACTCGCATATGTAAGCAGATATATATATAAAAAAAATAAAAAATCTGGCGGGGAAAGGGTTAATTATGTTTTATTAATGTTTTATTAATAAGGGTATTTATTGTAATTTTAATTTTCACACTTATGTTCAGGTTTTTGCTGCCATGATTCATCTCATGAAGAAAGAGAGAGAGAGAAACAAAAAAATACAGAGACAGTTGTGTAGAACACATCAAATTATGTTCTCTACGGATATAGTGCCCTAGTATTACATCTCAAGCATAGCCAGTATGTGTATGTGCATTCACATTTCCTTTCACTTACAACTCTCAATCTCCAGGGTGCAGTTCTGTTCATCGAGGGGGTACCGTCTCAGGTCCATCATGCAGGCTGCTGTAGTGGTTATTCTGGAGAAAAGGACAGCAAAAAAAACAAGGAATGGATAGAAAGAGAGAGAGAGAGAGAGAGAGAGAGAACGAGAGACACCGTTACCTTGGTAACCTTTAGGAAATCATAGCTTAGCCTTGACTGCACCATGTGAATATCTGAGTCATGAGTAATGCTTGGAATCTATTCTCTTATTCTAAGAAAAAAAGAAAAACAAAAAAAGAGAGGAAAATCCAATTATTGGTAAGCAGTCAGGGTACATTCGTTCATTCTTTTTTTTTTTTTTTATATTGAA